GATACTCTAAAGGGACTTCTATAGATGGAAATATTCCTAAGGCTAAATAGTTTTCACCAGTGAAAATAAACCCACAGTAAAAGTAGGAGATCAATTATTTACCAAGAAAGTATGAAATTAAAACAAAACATAACAAAACCAAATTAGTAAAACCAACTATACACAAACTCAGTCAAGGGATACACAACAAGAGCAGATTATGACATCTAATACATAAAGTGAGGAGGAGGAGGAAGAAGAAAAATAGTACTTTTAGACTGTGTTTGAAATAGAGCAATCAGCAACTTAATAGAGACTGTTATATAGTCAGGAAGCTATTCTTGAACATTTGGTAACCACAAACCTAAAGCCTATAAGAGATACACAAAAAATTGGAAAACAGAAATCTAGCCATAATGCTAAAGAGAACCATCAAATAACAAGAGAAGAGTATGACAGAGGAACAAAGGAACAGAGAGAAGCTATAAAAACAACCAGAAAACAATGACTAAAATGGCAATAAGTACATACCTTTCAGTAATTACCTTAAATGCAAATGGACTAAATACAACAATCAAAAGACACAGAGTGGCAGAATGGATAAAGAAACAAGACCCATCTATATGCTGCCTACAGGACTCATTTCAGACCCAAAGACATACACAAACTAAAAGTGAAGGGATGGAAGAAGGTAGTTCATGTAAATAAAAGGGAGAAAAAAGCAGGAGTAGCAGTATTTATATCATACAAAATAGACTTCAAAACAAGGAAAGTAACAAGAGGCAAAGAAGGATATAACATAATGATAAAGGGGTCAGTCCACCAAGAGTATATAACCATTACAAATATCTATGCACCCAACATAGGAGCACCTAAATATGTAAAACAAATGCTAACAGAATTAAAGGGGGAAACAGACTTCAACTTATTCATATTAAGAGTCTTTAACACACCATTCACATCAACAGACAGATCAACCAGTCAGAAAATAAGGAAACAGAGGCACTCAACAACATATTAGATCAGAGGACTTAATAGATCTCTGTAAAACATTCTACCCAAAAGCAGCAGGATACACGTTTTTCTCAAGTCTACAGGAATGTTCTCTAGAATAGATCAACATACTAAGTCACAAAAAGAGCCTCAATCAATTCAAGAAGATTGAAATTGTATTAAGTAACTTCTCAAACCACAATGGTAAGAAATGAGAAATAAATTACATAAGAAAATAAAAAAGCCTACAAATACATGGAGGCTAAACAACATGCTTAGGTCTAGCATTTAATCAATTGACCAAATTAAAACAGAAATCAAGCAATACATGGAGACAAATGAAATGGTCTCCAGAGACAAATGAAAAGAAAAATTCAAATGCAAAATTTGTGGGATGCTGCATAGGCCTTTCTATGAGGGAAGTACATAGCAAAACAGGTCTATTTCAAGAAACAAGAACAATCCCAAATACACAGCCTACACTCACAATTAAAGAAACTAGAAAAAGAAGAACCAATGAAATCCAAAGTTAGTAGAAGGAGGGACATAATAAACATCAGAGCAGAAATAAATAATATAGAAAATAATAAAATAGAAAAAAAATCAGTGAAACCAGAGCTGGTTCTTTGAGGAAAAAATAAACAAATAGATAAATGCTTAGCCAGACGTTTCAAGCAAAAAAGAGAGGGTACACAAATACACAAGATCAGAAATGAAGAAGAGAGAGTCACAATGGAAACCACAGAAATAGAAAGAACTATTAGAGAATAGTATAAAAAAATTATATGCCAATAAACTGGACAATGTAGAAGAAACAAATTCCTAGAAAGATGCAACAACCTTCCAAGGCTGACTCAGGAAGAAACAAAATCTGAACAGACCAATCATCAGCAATGAAATTGGTCATCCAAAAACTTCCAAGAAACAAAATTCCATAACCAGATGGTTTCACAGCTGAATTTTACCAAACATTTAAAAAAGAGCTAATACCCGTACTTCTTAAAGTATTCCAGAAGTAGAAGAGGGAATACTTCCAAACTCATTCTGAGGCGAGCATCACTTTAATACCAAAATGAGACAAAGACAGTACAAAAAAGAAAATTGTAGACTAATATCCCTTATGAACACAGATGCAAAAATCCTCAACAAAATATTAGCAAACTGAATTAAAAAATACATCCAAAGGATCATCCATCACCACCAAGTGGAATTTATTTCAGGGATGCAAGGATGGTACAATATTTTTAAATCAATCAATATTATAAACTTATGATACACCTATGTACCTCTAAGTTTATCACTTAACTATTTACAATAGCCAAGATAGGCAAACAACCAAAGTGCCCACAATAGATGAATGGATAAAAAGATGTGGTACACAATGGAATATTATTCAGTAATTAAAAAAAAAAAAAAAGAAATCCTGACATTTGCAAAAGCATGAATGGACCTAGAGGGTATTATGCTAACTGAAATAAGCCAAATAGAGAAAGACAAATATCATAGGATTTCACTTATTTGTGGAATATAAAAATAAAGCGAAATAGAAGGAACAAAACAGCAGAGGACTCACAAACACTGAGAAGTCACTGATGGTTACACAGGGGAGGGGCTGGGGTGAGTGTGTGGGAAGAGGGAGGGGATAAAGGGAAACAAAAATTCTCAACCGTAATATAAATTGGTCATAGGGATAGCAGTAAAGCATGAAGAATATAGTCAATGATTCTGTAACACCATTCTATGTTGACAAATAGTAAACACACTAGAGGGGGAGAGGATTTAATAATATGTGTAACTATTAAACCACTGTGTGTTATACTTGAAATCAATATAAGATTGAATATCAATGATACTTCAATTAAAAAGAAACAAAGATAAGAAAGGAAGGTAAGGGTAACAAACAATGTTTCCTTCAAGGCAGTCAGGCTATTTCAGTAGTTCTCAAAGAATGGTCTCCAGACCAGCAGCATTAGCATTACTTGCTATAGAAATGCACTCTTGGGCCCCTACTCAGAGCTAAAAAAAAAAAAAACTTGGGAAAACACCCAGAAATCTGCTTTAACAAGCCCTCCAAGTGATTCTAATACATGCTCAAGTTGAGAACCACTCCTTTATCAGTGTAAAGAGAAAAGTAGATTTTTAGGGCAGATACAGTATAGATGTAAAGAATATAGATTCTTTGGAGTGTGCTTTCAGGTCTATGTCTTAGAAAGCTGAGTCTAAAAATGCATATAAAATTATAAACTAATAGTAGACATGTTATATATAACTATACAATCTATAGGACTATGTAACATAGAGTATTATGTATTATATAGAGAGAATATATTATAATACATAAAATATACAAAACTATGCCTTCATATTGTTATCTTACTTTTTTATCACAGTGAAACATAAACAGTAATAATATTTATGATTTGCATTTATAAAAGTTTTGTTATATATGTTTTTAAACTCTTACTTGCTGAAAAGGGCGAGTGTCAGCTACTGCACAGCACATCAGCCTAGACATTCCCTTCCTTAAATGACATCATCACTTCAATAGTTAACAATGTTATTTAAAACTGTTCCTGGCTTTTGAAAATACATTCTCAGCAGAAAATTCTAGCAGGAAATGCATTTGGCAACTAGCTGACTCAGCAGAGAGCTAATCTGTTCAATCTTAAAAGAGTCAGTAAATATGCACACATCGTTTTCTACTGGTTCTTAAATTTCAACTCTACCAAAATAACCTGCTTTAGAATTTGAGGTTTCTATACTGCTCTGAAAAGGTTACAGAAATTATTTAAATGATTTAAAACCCAACCTAGAAGTGATTTTATCTTATGGCCCAGTGTGGGTTCTGCATTAGAAATGATGTTTAATAAAAGCCATTTGCCATTATAGTCATATGTCAGTTATATGTCAATAAAAAAACTTTATTAATATTTTTTGAGAATTTAGAAAAAGGAGATATATCAGCATTTAGAACTACACAGAACACACATCCTCTAGGAACTAATATTCTTCATTCAGAATTTGAAAATAGTATGTATCAGCAAAACACACACAATACTAGGGCTTAACTTCCATTTCAAATTAATTTTATTAGTTTTCTAACATTTTCCTAAGTAGTCATGACAAATAAGAAAATAAACAGCGGAATATTAACCATTTCTAATTGTCCATCTGTAATAGACTTGTTAAATAAAATAAAGGTACATTTATTCAATAAAATACTTTAATACTGATAAGGAATGATTTCCAAGATTAAGTGTAAAACAAAAGAAGATAAATGAATCTTCCGTGAGATAGGGGAGGAAACCTCCAAAATATATATAGTTGTGTAGGTGGCGAATATCTCTAGAATGACACATAAGAAACTAGTAACACTGGCTTTATCCAGGGAGGGGAAATGTGTGTTTGGGAGCAGAGAGGTGGGAGAGAATCTTTTCACTGTATATTATCTTTGCCTTTTGAATTATGTACAGTGTCCAAGAACTATTTATTCAAGAAAGAAAGAAACAAGCCCTCCTTCTTTTTATACTTCCTAAGTTGTACAGCTAACTCATAACTTTCCAGGCTCATTGCTTCTTTCCTGGCATTATATTATCAATATATAATGGTATTTTTTTTCAAATCAAATCAATACCCACTTAACAGTAGGTTTCTAAGCTGCAGAGCCCCTAAGTCCTCTTATTTATGAAAGCTATTAAAAGAACATTAAAATGAGACTGCCTGCAGATTCCAAAACTGCAACGTGGAAAGAAAGTTGAGATCAAAAGTCTTCAATGTAGGCCACAGGAGAAGCCTCGTATTCTAGTTAATTTTTTTTTTCAATAAAAATAGTCTTATCTTTTAGAACTGAGGTTTTGTATTACCTTTGTCACATTCCTATATGATTATCAGGACCCACTACTTCATCATGCAAATGTATTAGAATGTACAAATGTTTTATAAAATTAATTCAGTAAATGTTATATGCATATTCTTTCCCACGAAGAAAAAAAGGAATAAACCAGAAATAAATACATCTATATTCCTACCTTCAAAAATCTTTCATTGGTCAATAGTGCAACTTGCTTTTCTGAAGCTTGGTCTTCCACGTACCTAAAATTTTTGCCATCCCATACACAAGGAGAGAAAATAAACATTCTAAATATTTGAATAGCACATGAAGAAAAAGAACAACATTCTTTAGAATTTGAGGTTTCTATACTGCTATATTCTTTCCTCTCTTCTCAAAAATAAATTCAAGATGACCATCATGGTTTAATGGTAGTTTTTAACTCTTTAAATTATCTGCACTTCATAGTCTAGGGGTCTAACATAAACAAAGGCCATAAACTCCAGAAATATGAAGTTATTTATTAAAAAAACTCTAGAAAAACCACCTGCAAATTATGTCCCCTTGTAAAAATATTTTCCTTCATGCCAAATTTTCAAATCCAACAAAGAAATTAGGCAATTAAAAACAGAAGGGTTTTATTTTTGCTCTAAACAAAATGAAAAGGTTATTTTTCCTTTCCCCACTTAAAAAATAACTGGAAGTGAGATCCCTTATTCTGCCCCAAACTCTATTATAAGATGTATTAAATATGTCCTTTTCTTTTTACCTCCTAAATGATGGAAGACGCCGGATGTTTTCACATTGATTATCTGATAAAAAATTTATCCTTCTTTTGGCTTCTGGGAGACTACAGCACAGAACACTGAGGGGTTGGGAATGGAAATGCTCTAATAGAGAAAGCTGAAAGAAATGCAAAGATTTAAAATATGTATTTTGGCAGTAAGTCCTTTGCCCTATATCTGCTCAATTTTAAGGATTTTTTTTAACAGCAAAAGTATGGCACTGATATATTTGATAATGTCACAATAACACTGTGAACAACATATAACTGGCTCTACACCTGTAGTATTTTAAGGCTCCAATTTTGCAAACAAGGTCATAAAATTGTAATGTCTGAAGTATAAATTAAAAGAAACTAATATAAATGGATAGATTAATTATCTGCAGAAGCAACTCAGTCACAACAGCAGTAAATGTGGTGAGAATGGGACTGGGGCATGATCAAAGAATCTAACAGATGCCCAAATACTCATAAGAAAATACCTATCTAAAATCATTGTAGAAATTGGTCTGCTAAATAAGTAAAAATGCTACAATGGTAGAAACTTTGCCTAGGGATAAAAAAGAATAATGAAAAATGAGGGATGGCTAAAGAAAATGTATCTTTAAATTGGGTTTTATTTCATGGAGTAAAACATGGTATAGTATCTGGTAGATACAGTATTCTAGTAACTAGAATGCTGTGGTCCATAGTACAAGGGTAACTTTCCAGATTCTACCATAAATGGTAAGATGTATCTCACAAGACTATCCAAACATTAAAAACTCTGACTTTACACAACCTTCTCATGATTAGTTTGGTTTTTCCAGATACCTTGATATACCGAAGACAGTTCCCAAAATAGCAGATAAAACACTCTAGTCACTGAAAAAAAAGCATCCCCATCATAAATGAATAGATTAATATGCTAGTGTCTGTATCAGTCTTCAAGTATGTTGGCTTGATCCTTGCTAGGTAAACTGATAATGAATTCCTGAGCCTGCTGAGCTGAGGACCAGCTACCCAAGCCTAGGGGAAATCCTCCCAAGTAGTTTTGGAGGAAGTACAAGGCTGTTAGGCAAAGGGCCAGTCTAACTTAGAAACACGCACAAAACAGAAACTGTCTAAATTTTCTTAACCTAAGCTTCTGTTTCTTCATGTGCAAAATGAAAATAGTACATATTAATCCAACAATGAAAATTTAGAAACAGGTGCTAAATTATTTTTATACATGTTAACATAATTTTGTTTCTTACATTTTCCAGTACATTAATATCACAATACTAATTCCAATGTTAATACCACTTCTTAAAAGAGGAGAAAAATAAAAGCCAACACAATAAGGATCTTGCTGGGGAGTAGGAATGGAATGGGAGGAAGTCACGTGAGCCACGGTAGAGCTATAAATAGGATAAGAACCCAGCACCACTTAATTATTTTGTCAAGTGTATTCTCAATATGGGTCAGTTAACAAGTTGATGAACAAGTTCACCTAATAGGGAAGGGCTTAAACATACACAGAATGAGTATATGCCCTAATGCACCTCCTACAGAAATCAGGATTTAAGTGTATTTCCCACTGATGATTAGGGAAACTGGACAAACGGAGTCCAATGGCTCTGCCATGTACTCGCTAGGGCCTTGTGACCTTGGCCAAAGTCTTAACCTAAGCTTCTGTTTCTTCATGTGCAAAATGAAAATAGTACATATTAATCCAACAATGAAAAAACTTAGTAAAGGGCCTAGCACAAAGGGGGTGCTCAGTAAATTATCAGAGACATTTAAAATCATGTAATCTGATCCTCTTATTTTACAAATGAGAAAATTGAAACCAACAGAGATTAAGTACTTTGAATTTGGTTCATGTCTTATTCTTCACTTTCTCAATGGTGTATCTGAGACTACAGCACTGAGGCTACAGTTGATAACATTCCTAAAACTCTTGCTTCCCTTGGCTTCCAGGATACTCCACTTCCTATGGGCTCTCTTACTGTTTTTAGTCTCCTCTGCTCACTCTGGTACGTCAGCTTGCCTTAGATTCTACCCTTAATCCTCTGCTCACTCCTTTGGGTGAAGCGTCAACCATATTACATGACTTCAACCGCCTCCTGTTAATGCTAAATCCTAAATATTCCTAGTCCAGATCTTTCTCCTGAGTGCCAAATCTTTACATCCAAATACCCTAAAAGTAACCATGTATGGAAAGAAACTCATCTACTTCTAATCAACAGGCTCTTCATTTTATAACATGCACACTTAATAAATGGCACCAACTACCAACCTATCGCCAAGCAGGAACCTGTGTGTCTGTCACCAGTGCTCCTCTCTTACATATCCTCTCATCCACTTATTCACCAGGTTCTGTGGATTCTATCTCATCGTTTTTATTTGTTTCCTCCTTCCTTGTCCCACTATCACCACCTTAGTGTAGCACTTGACATATATTGTCTAGATTACGCAACAGTCCTCTTTCCCTCTACGGTTGCCTTTGTCTGGGGAGACTTTCCCACTCTGACCTGGCTAGCTCCTTTTTCTTAGGATATACTTCTACTCGCCTATGGAATCCCTAGGTGCATTTCTTTCATAGCATCAACTACTCAGAACTGTAACTGCAGGCTTACTCTTCTGCTTCCTTCACTAAGCAATGAGCAATGTGAAGGCAAACATTTCCTTGTCCTCTGTATCTCCAGGGCTGGGCATAGTACTTGGTTTACAGTAGGCTCTTAATAAATACTTATGAGTAAATAAATAAATGACTGAAATGAAATGCATGAGAAATTACAAAATTATATCTCAATATCATTTAATTTCACATATTGCTAAGGTAAATTAATATTTCTTAAAATACTCTTTTAAAAAAATCTAAGTTGAAAGAGCAAACAAACCACATATTAGCCATAAGAGACCCCCCACAGTGTTTCATATGGAGGAAAAATACATGAGAAGTAATTTACAATCTTCAAGGTATATCATATCATGTACTGAAGGTTTTAATGAACTTGACAACTGGCATGTGTTCATGACTACACTTTGCTAAGGTATTTCAGGTAGTTGCCAAGAGAAGAAAATAGTATTAACATTTAAACAACTGGAGAATGGGGTACTTCTTTTAGATTAGAACAGATGTTATAAGCTAAGCTCATGAATTTTTGCAGGACAATTCAAGAACTGAAAATGCATTCCCAATGTGGAAGAATAAATATAAATGAACACATACACACCTAAGTGCAGAGGACAGCCAACTACAACCCACAGCCTCTTTTTATACAGCCTAGGAACTAAGAACGTTTTTTACATGTTTAAAAAGTTATTTACAAAGAAGAAGCAAATTCAACAAAAACCATACGCAGCATGCAAACCCAAAAATATTTAATATCTGGTCCTTTACAGTCAAGTTTGCTGACCCCTTATATATAGCACTTCCTAGGCAGAAACCATAAGCTTTCATCATATTCTCAAACAAAAAAGGTCCCTTCCTCCCCGCTCTCAAAATGGTTAAAAATCACCAGAATGGAGGGAGGTCTTTTTCCATTTTTGATATCCTATTTAATGTATTCTTTACATTTTGCTGCAAGGTAAACAAAGGATGGTAAAACCTAGAATAATATAACTTGAATTTACTTTTTTTATACTTTGCCATTTAAAGTGTCTTAATTATCACACTAAACAGTTTGAAATAACAAGCAAATTATTTAGAATCAGCTGTGAATTTTCAAACCTGTGTCTTCTTACCTTTAGTCCTTTTATAAAGTTCTGAATTGAGAAATCATGATACAAAAAGATACTGGTCAGAATCTGTAATACTTTATCACTTAGTTTAAAGGGAAATTGAGTTGTAAGAAGTAGCTGAAAGAGAGAAAAGGTGGGCAGGACACACTCCTTGTTAGTCTTTACTCGTTTTAAATATCAAATGTAAATAATGAGGCAAAGAATGATGCTAGGACACTTTGACATATTCTGAAAGCTGTAATAGCACTAGGCTTTTTGAGTCAAATATCAACCAAAATTTTAAATTAATTTATACAACAGTGACAATAACAAAAAGAAGCTATTCATACTGTATCTTCAGAACCAAAGATGTCCATCATCCCCCATGCAATTCCTAATTTTAAAAAATACTGTCTATTAACTATACTATCCCTTTTCTCCACCAAAAGCCACTGAAGAGGCTGCAGGCTTTGGCAATTCTCATTATCAGATGAGATTTCTTTTGCATCCCAACTGACACACATTATTAATAAATAGTAACATTAAGAACAACTGAATGAGAAACACACAATTAACAAATGTCTATTTAAAAAATATAAAATAGCTGAATTTGTATTACTTAGCTATTTCAGTGGTCAATAGTGAAGATTTTACATCTGAAAATGAAATCATTCTAGGTGTTTTAAACAGAAAGTCAACTGAATTTGGCCACAACTAAGCAATTTTAAACAGTGTAACTGGAAAAAATTTCCCTAGCATGTTAGTAAACCAATAGACACCACCTTAAAGGTGAAAAAATGTACAAGAGGCTAGTAAGCAAATGTAATGTTGTCTATTAGTTTACTTTACACCAGCAGCGTAACGCACACTGAGTTGAGCTGAGCCTAGCAAACAATTTGTGGAAGGTCAATGCTAAATATTCATATATCTATTTAGGGAGAAACATTTCTAGGTAGAAACTAAGGTCGGAGAAAATGTTGGCATTTATTTGCCAAGAGCAGTAAGTCATTTTATGTAAAATGTAAGAATTAAAACATTGTTATTATTATTATTAGGAAGTCAATGGATTTAAAGTATGCAAAAATTTATTTTAAAAACTTTGTTAACAGTCTTCCAGAGTGATGACTGCTTGACTGATAGGTAGATATAAACAGACAGACATAATTATACTTTTCATAATGCTTGCATCTTATCTGAAGAGATAATATTATACCACCATAAACATAATTAAATAAAAATATTAAAATATGTGAAGGAATATCATACTCTGAGAAATGCAGAAATTTATCACTAACATTTGTATTTATAATCTATTCCTGGTTTTCACCCCACTTTACTGTAAATTTTTTTCTTTTACCTTATCAAGTATTGTGGTCAGGTGCTCCTTACAAGACAAAGATTGGAATAGTTCTATACACAATAGAGATGATACTGCATGAGGAAGCAACCGACGGATGATAATAGGAGATGTGGCAATTCCAAAAATGAGTATTAGTGGAAATTCATGTAGATGTTGACTAGTTTTCAAAGGAAGATACAAAGGTAGAATGGCTTTAGCAAATATATTTCAATACATATTTCAAAAACTTTTATTTTAATGCCTACTTTTTATAAGACACTGCTGAGGAACATCATTCTAAATGCTAAAATTTTCAGTCATTCATTTTCCTCCATTAAAGTCCATACTAGCTCTCAAATCAATCCACTAATGGATCCTTTCATTTTATAAATAAGACACAGAGACTCTTAAGAGATCAAGTGCCTTCCTCTAAGGTTATACAATCTCAAATGTCAGAAACCATTCAATTCAAGTTCTCATCAAAGTTTGAGCCCTATTTATACTCTTCCTCAGTTAGACATCTACCTTATGCTTTAAGAGTTCAGTGACATGAAGCTCACTAATTTTCAAGGTAACTTATTCTATTTATGGACATTTCTAATAGACACTATATCACCCAGCCATACCAGCTAATAATTAGAAAAACTTTTTTGACACATATATAAGACATGTTTCTAATGGGCAGCATGATAAAAGGTTACATACTTTCCTCACATTCTTAACTCAAACTTACTGAACATGATGCAATCTTGGCATTACCAGTGTGAACACACACAGCTTCCACAGAGTAAACCAGCACTATCTTTCAGAGCGATTGCAGGTCAGGGCCCTTTGTGTCATGGCTGATGATTTTGCCTGCCGCCTCCTGTTAGCTATCGCTTTTCAGCATTCTAGCTCTATGCAGTTCTACCTTCATTTGACTAAGGTAACTGGACTCTGGTACTGTTTTAAGTTCTTCTTCCTTACTTTTGATTGCAGGAGTAGTCACAAGAATGAGCTCCAAAAAAATAGAGATTTTCTGCCACTATTCTTTACTGTGGATTTTTCTAGCATGTTAAACAGTTCAATGTTAGCATTAAGAAAAGTCTTAGGATCCAGAAATCTTAGTTTCAACAGGTACAAGAAGACACTATTAAATAGGAATTATAGATATATTAGTAAATTTTTTTGATATATTAGTAAATTATAAGACAATGTATCGTTAGGCAAACATAGCCATAACTATTAAGCAAGTTAACAAACAGAAGAAGCCAAAATAAACTATATCTTAAAAATGTACCATGGGAAATACATGTCACTAGATTTTAAAGTAAGATTACTTAAATTTTGAGTCTCATAGGATTGCCTTAAAGCTCCAGGTAAGTCATGGAAATAGTTTCTCACAAGAATTATTATATAAAATAATGTTATTTATAAAACATTCTTGCTCAGTAGAGCTATATGTAACTCAGAGCTTCTAAGGGTGGATATATATAAGAAAATTAGACCTGCAAAAATATTTCATCCTGGAATAGTTTATCCATTTAATAGGCAAGTAAGAGACAGACAACCTTGATGATAGAAACTACATCTTCTACTGCCTTACAGTGCTAATTAAAAACTGGCTGTCTTTTGACTCTCATTTTTGGCTCAAAAAGCAAATGAAAATCTGATAGGAGGCCTTTGAACATTCAATTATAAGGAACCTAAAATTACCTTGGTTTCTATCCAGTTGGTATTAAAATGAAGAATAAACTATCATTCATTTTCTGCACAAAAAGGTTGTTTTTTAAGTTAATAGTTATGTTTTCCCAGTAAAAAGAATTTTGCACAAAAGCCAGAAGACACACCATCTACCTGCTGATAATTATGAAGTCTTGAAGTACTTTTGTGGTGAAGCTTTCCATATCCTTTAAGATAAGCACAACAGGAGGAGACTTCCATTGGCCACAAGTTCTCTTTTTCCGTGGCATTTTTGGGTCTGTCTTGTTTAAGTCATGTGGAAAAAAGGAATGAAAAGTAAGCCTCAGCACCCAAACAATGCTATAATACCATATGTTGACAAATCTCTCTTTAGGTTTCACAAGAACACTGCTTTTTATTTCTCCCACATGATAAACATAATAAGTAGAAACTCATTCCAAGTGTTATTAGCAGACTTTCTGTTATTCTGACATGGGAATAACACCCAAGAAGAAAAACGCTCAGTAAAATCTGCAACTCATATGAAATATTTCTATTTTCTGCTAACAAATTGACAGGAAAAGCATGAGGAAAAGAGAACATTTTCTATATAATTGATTTTTCTGTTGGTAGAATGTTACATTTTGATATTTTGCTTTGCTTTAAGGTAAGAACTAGTATTTTTAATTAAAAAGCATAATGAATAACACTATTTGTAGCTTCGCTACTAGGAAATTTCAAGTTAAAAAGCACCTTAAATATCATCTGGTCTAATCCCAATCTTTTCTTAAAGATGTCTGACATAAACTGCAGAATTATATAATAGATATATTAGAAAACCTAAAATTGTAGATCAAATGAAGATACAATAGTAAGCATTCAACTCAGCTTAGTCCATTTATAAAGTAAATGAAACCTCACTTGTGATAACTTCAGCAAATATGTTCATTAGAAAATGTGAATACCATATTCTTTCCCATATTGTCCGGCTATACAGCATCATAAACTCAGCCTGTGGTTTTACTGTGCAGTTACCCATGAATCACATAAGTTACTCATTTTCACCAGGGCCAGCCATGGTAGGCTAGAATTTCTTTTTATTTATCTGTTTGAATATACTTCAGTTACATAGCATTTATTCCTCAAGAATTCTAAACATCGAACACATTATATATTTTTTTAATGACTATATTTCATCAAACTAAGTTCACAATGGGTACTAGCAGCAAGGTTCTACTACATAAAAGCAAATACTGAGGAACTAAAGAGATAATATATTAAAGTTATAGCCACTGTCACAGAGATAGAATCTGCAGCATAACCAATTCCTGATGTGGTTTTTGTCACTAGATGACAATATTCTACAAATAAAATAGCCTTGTAAGAACCTCAACACTTAAACTAGGAATTAGGTTGCATACTGAAAAGGAATACTTTTAAATTCTGGTAGTTTAGGAAAAATAACTTACTATTAATAGCTCTTGCTGCATAAACATATCCTTACTAGAACAAAACAGTAATATGTTTAATATAATTCGAAGCCTCTTCTATCATATGCCAATTTCCTGGGAGAAAACTGTCAGTTTATATTACCTGTGTCACATTCATATACCAGCTGCTAAGAGAATCCATTGAACAATGTGTCTTTTTCTGGGTGACCTGAATACTTTCCTTCTCTTTGGATTCCACATGTACACAGCAGTCCATCAACTGTGAGTCCAGCTTTTGCAAAAAATGTTTCATATCTGCAAAATACAGAAGGTTAGAAAGCTTATCTCCCCTTAAAACAAATCTAAAACACCTGAAACTTCTTGATCCATATATTATAATATTCGGGTAGAATGTATTTTTCTATATGTAACATCAACCAAGATAATGTTTAACATATTGACTATAAATGTTCATTAGTATCCTCTCATTAATTCAGACTAACACTAGGCCAAAATTTATGTGTATACTGTCTACAATGAAAGTGTTACATAAGCAAATGTGTAAATATGAAAACTATAAATTATATTAGGGGTAATATGTATTTATATTATGCTGGACAGCAAAAGGTTTTTAAGGACCCTAAAAAAATAGAGCAAAAGTGTTATTTACCTAAGTTATTTTACTGATTACAAATCTTCCTTAGAGTCATTTTTAAAGATATCCTAAGGGCTTTTATTAAATTCCAATCACTTTATGAATATGAAATATAAGCACAAAAAGCATTTGTATCAGTTCACATCTAAGTACACTTTATTACTATTCACATTCTTTAAGATGTAATGGCTTTAGATATCCAAGATTAGCTCTGACAATGGACTATTTTTACCCTGGTGCCCTTTCAAAGTGAGAAAATAAGACGATCTGAGCTGTAAACATGAGCTTATGTAGTTTATTCTCTGTTGGACAAGATAAAGAGTTCCTCACTCCTCAATTCTCAGCTCCCTATACCCAACCTTCCAACTAATTAAAATTTTACTGGCTTAAGGAACGCATACTGCAAAATACCTGGACTATTACTGGCAGTGAAGCTGATATGGCAAGCATGGGGCAGGAATAAAGGAAACAAAAGTTAGCAAAGCCCTGTAATAATCAAGATTACTCTGGGAGGCACTAAACCTCACCATGCCAAAAATGGAGAACCATGCTCTTCCCACAAATAAAAAGGCATACAGAAAGCTAGAGCAAGAGAGAGGATGGAAGAGATTTATAACATCTCACTCTTTGTAAGTTATTTATATAATGTATATAAGGTATTTATAATATATATAAGCAAATATATATTGCATATAAGGCAATTATATATAGAAGACATTTATACTTTACCTGGACAATCTTTAGCTCGCAATGAGACTACATATGGAGTGACATTATTCTGAAGGGCTTCTGTCAAACTTCTGAATGTTAAATCATGATCTGTTACATTCACACCTGTGGGATAACATGTCAATATTACAACACCATTTTTATTATTAATAATTTAACAACAAAAGCTATTTAACATGTTGAATGAATACTAAGTAAAAATATTTTTTAAACATTTAATAATAGAAACCAAGAAAATATGCTGCAGAAATACATAAATAAAGAGATCTTCACTAACAACAGATATGATATCTAGAGGCACACACTGTGCTTATTTGTCAGGAAAGTTATTTAGTACAATTTTTCCTTTAAAAAATTTACTGGGATGTGTAGTTGACCCTTGAAAACTATTTAGGAGTAATTTCATTACTTTGTCAAATTCATAAACAGCTCTTACAATATTCATTGAAAAACAAGGGCTATGGATTCCAGCCTTACTGCAACCCTGACTTAATATGTGATAAGAATCCGATCATTACTGCCATTAATGATCATAGCTGCAAATACAACAGGTAGCATGTACACTAGTTTCTGAGGGGAGGGCCTAACAACAAATGAAAACTTTAAGCTCTTTACGTTTTTACTGAACCCCTGGTTCTCATTTCTACAAATCAGAGTTTTAGTGCTCTGTATGCAGTTACCAGAGTTGAGTGAAAATTTCCCTACTACTCTAGAAAAAATTCCATTAACTGATACCTTCCCTGTAACCACAATCTGTGATTTCTAGAAAGTTCTTTGGTACTTAGGCAGGTACCGGAAGCAGACATCATGAAACTACTTGAGACTTGCTACTAAAAAACTACAACTGTTTGGAAGAAAAAGAAAAGGTTCAAAATTGTCCAGCCATCAATAAGTAACATCTGTTTTTCTAGGAAAGACAAAAATAATAATGTTGGCAGGCTATCTTTAAATGGACATAGAAATATGAAAATATTTTGCAAAAGGAAATATTTTTGAAAACAGAAAATGTGCAACTGTGTTTGAGCATTCTTTGAGTATAGGGATTTTTTTCATAGTGTGAAAAAAATATTCCTAGCACACATGATGGTCTATGATTTTGATACAACATCTCTGAAAAAATTTGGATTTTTAGTAAAACACTGGCTTTCAATGACTGACTTTATAAGCTACTTAATAATGCTCCTTAATACAATGGGCTTGCCTATTGGAAACAAGATAATCAACAATGTCTTTCACTGGAAAAATGTTCTGAGACCAGACTTTGAAACACATGGTTTCTATTAGATTCTTCCTTTGGGCAGTAGGCAGAGAAGGGATTTAAGAGGTACTCTCATAAAATACTGTCTATTAACTATACTATCCCTCTTAATTGTGTTTCCCCACTTCATCTCCAACTGCTGTCCTGGCAGTATAAAAACAAAGCACCCAACAGTACAAGCTGGCCATCAATTAGCCTCAGCTTCTCATCCAGGGATTTTGAAATTAAGTAGCAGACTGCACTCAACAGCTGATCCACAGCATTATACAAATCTTTCCCGGAAGTCTGGTTACCCAGAGTGGTCCTGGGATCAGCAGTAGGGACATGAGCTGGAAACCTGTTAGAAATGCAGAATTTCAGGCCCACCCCAGACCTGTTAATGAAAATCTGCATTTACTAAGATCCCCTGGAGGTTATCTGTAGGTACACTAAATTTTTGGTACTGCCCTGGACAACAGGAGTAAGATTCAGGTAATGAACAGTATTAGAGGCAGTATTAAACATCACAGTTAACTTATCTCAGAGCCCACTAGTATAACAAGCCCTGAATAAATAAACTATTGAAAGTGCAATGAAGAGTATGTTTGGAATACAAATAAATTCAACTTTCTTTTCAAAAGGAATGAAATTTGCTAATATTCCAAAGAAAAATTTCCGATTATCCTAGAATCTAGGTGTTTGGTTAAAATAGGATAATGATGAATATTTAAGTACCTAAAAAATGTAAACCTGCAGTCTGAAATTTATATATGATTCATACAAACTCCCTTGAAAGGAATTAAAATTAATGCAATATTATGAAACAAGACTGAAAAACTAAGCACAGGGAAAGAAAATTAAGGCCACAGAGTAATTCCACTGAAGATATGACTTTAAAAAGTATAAAATTAAGTCTTTTAACAGACTGGTGGTTTATTATTGAATTCAAATCTCCTATGTTCTCACAAAATAAAGAACACACATATATTTCTTCTTCATTTTCCTGACAAAAGTTGAGGATACTAGCTAACTCTAGATCAATTTCTTTTAATTCACAAATGTATAATCAGTATAAAGAACTTTTATTCGTTTTGAAAGTATGCAAAGTAAACTAAAATTGGTTTAATTCTGTAAATGAAAGAGACAAAAAAGGCTTATCAGAACAGGTTATTCCCTACTATTCTCAACAAGAAAACCACCAATTAAAAAAAAGTAATACCTAGAATAAGAGCGGCAGTTGGAATTTCTCTGAGTTTTACTTGACAGCCCCAGTCTCTTGAATTCTTCTGGAATCCAGAATGAGACTTTTGTAGAAATTCGATTAGACTGTCAAACAGGTTTTTATTTAATTCCTCTTGTAGTTGCTATAAAGAAAACACAAAACTTTATGAATTATTATTATTGTAATCAGATGTGTCTTTCCAAGTCTGGGAAAGTAAATTCCCATGAATTCAATTTCAAAGATTACATGTAAAATGATTATACAATGGATACAATAAGAAATACTTTTTTCCTTATATGCCCAGGGGTTAGTACGTTTGGATTCCCTCATCAAAGAATCTCATTTATTCACTTACTAACCACATTACAAATGAAACACAGTCTCTGCCCTAAAAAAGGTGAATAAATGGAGAAACAACAATTAAAATTAAAAAACATGTGCAGAGTACTATGGTAACATTAGAACAAAGAGCAGGACCATCTAATTCAAGCTGAGGAAGTGATACATCTGAGCCAAAGCATTAGAGTAGGTGGTAGAGGAGGTGACAGTAGGTCAAAGAAAGTTAGAAGAGATGAGGAGCGAAGGAGGCAAGAAAGAAGAAACATTTGGGGAACCACGGGTACACCTAAGTGTAAAGAACATGGTAAGTGGCAGGGAATGAGGCTGGACAAAGAAGGAAGGGGCTGAACCAGGAAAACATGTATCTGAAGTTAAAGCAGGGATTTTACCCTGTGGGGAGAACCACTAAAGGCATTTAAAGAAGAGACATGATTAAATCAGGGTTAAGAAGGGTTTGGGCAGAACTGTGAAGGCCAGATTAGAGGGGACTGGAGAGGCTATACTGGCAGCTGGTTCGGAAACCCCTGCAGCCTAGCACAGGGCTGAATCTGCCTGAGGGAGGACTCTCTTAATTTGGCCAATGGTGCTGTAGGGACTAGTGAAAGGCTTGAAGGGTTTGACACTGGAGGCTGGAACATCAGTTAGGAGGGTATTACGGCAACCCAGCTTAAGAAGTGAAGAAGGCCTAAACCGGAAACCACTAACTTGAATACCTTCGAAGGTCACATGGAATACATGAATGAGCAAAGCCACTAGGTGTAGAGCAATGAAGAGAGGTAGAAAGCAGGAATAAACTAGAAAAAGCATAAAAAAAAAAATAAACTAGAAAGTGCATAAATACCAAAGGCATTTAAGAACAAAAAAATACAACACTGTGTTGGTCAAACAAAGCAAGTCCACTTTAGATGTTGGCTGTACAGTGACTAATCGGCTGGAGTGGAGAAATTTTTCAGAGCTGGAATAAAAGAACACGGTTACTGAATATGAGGATGAGGGAGTGAAGTAGTTTAGAAATAGCTGGATTCTTACTTGTGTGACTGAATGGATAATTTAAACAGTGCTGCCATTTAAAAACTGTGAGAATATGTACAGGGTCCCTTGCCTTAGCAGCCATTGTTATAAATGAATGTTCCAGTACTTAAAGCTATGCTTAATACCTGGAACATGAGGGCTCTTTAGGATAGACAGATTATGCTTAGCCAATATTAATGTATTTCGACAATACTCATAAACTAGTGAAAGGAAGATGGGAATTAACAAATGAGATTCACAGTATCAGAGAAACATAGCTATTTAAAAAGGATTCACCTCAGTTTCAGATTTCATCTGCTGCCATATCAACTGATAAGTTTCAAATCGAAGCTTACTGTCATCCTCAGACTCATTTTTCCCTTTATTAAAATAGTCCTCTAAAAACACAGAAAGAAATGTCAGTTTCTTTTTGATATAATAAAAGTTAGAAAAATCTCTGTGCAAATCCACATAGTGATGGGGTTAATTTTTTTTATATGTACCAAACATATATATATTCAGGGATAGTAACATTCAATATCCTTTATATCTAATTTTATTTATATTTCTTATAATTTTATTACATTAACTGTATCTACAAGATTAAAAATATCCTTTTATTTTTTAGATTGCATTCCATTTACTTTTCAATTTCTAACAGTTTGTATTTAATGAGTTGTTTAAAGGCATATCCATTTAATATTAATGTATTTTCTTTATTTGCTCTTTTTCTAGGGCCTTGCATACTTTACTTCATGTATTTGCTTTGAAGTCTACTTTATTAAATGGTTCTTAGTACTACTGTTCTTGCTCTTCTGTTCAACTGACCTAGTTTAGCCCAGCCTTTTATTCAGTCTGTATTATTTTATCTCCTTTTTGAATGCTTTCCTCCAAATGGTTAGCCATTTATCAAAATATCATTTACTGCAGTGGTTTTCAAACTTTTCAAACCATGGTCCACATTTAGGAATATACTTCACATCATAAACATATAATAAAAACAAAAATAAAGTCCAACAGAACAATACTTAAATCCTTATACATGACAGCAAATGTTTTTTCTCTTCTGTTTTTTTAAAATTATCATAACCTACTAAAACTGATTTCATGACTCAGACTTGGTCTGTTTGAAAACCACTCATTTATTTGAATAATCCATCTTTCCTCTCACTGACTTGAATGCTCTTATTGTCTAAATACTATACACTTAGAACTATTTAACTTTTGTTCTGCTGAATCTAATTCTACTTCCATACCAGACCTGAACTGTTTTAATTATTTTAGCTTTGTAGTACATTCAGATGTTGAATAGATTCAGGTCTTCTTACCACCACCACCGCCAAACATTATCACTCCATTTCAAAAATGTTTAAGCCATTCTTACAAGTTAAGCATGTTATTTATAAAAATAATTACAATGGTATTTTGACTGAATAAAATAAAATCTGTAAATTGATTTGGGGTGAAATGACATTTTTAATATGATAAAAAATTCACACCCTTTAATCAAGTATTTCACATTCCTTATAGTTTTCTACTTTCCTTCATATTTCTTGTTTTTTATTGTTAGGTATTTTACTGGGAGAGCTAGAGCTTTCATAGTATTAAAATAATTGTGAAAGAGGACATTTTGCTCCTGGCTTCACCAAGATGCTGCCAGTAGTCTACCATTAAGTTTTAACATTAACTGATGACTTGGAATAGAAATTCTCTTTCATGTTATGGAATTTTCCTTCTAATTGACTCAGAGTTTTTAGCAAATACTGATTTCTAAATTTCTAAATTTTTTAAAAGCATTAGAATACACTGAAATCATCAGATGGTAAAATGACAAAGTTACAGTATAATATGCAAACAAAGTAAGGAGATACACTTTTATAAGAGACTAGGCAGAGTAACAAGGTGGCCTTAAATAGAACAAAAATAATCATTTGACTTTGATAATGATAAAATCACACAGAATGTTAAAGTGGCAAATCAAGATGTGAATTTTTTATGTGCTGAATAATGCTGCATCCAACACATAACATAACAACTGTTAGAAACTGGGTAACAGCAGTAGGACACTTTAACTGGTTACCATGACTTCTTCCTCTCAGTCAGTCAGTTATAGATCAAGTAGGTAAAAAATAAGTAAGCACCGAAAGGAACTACAGAATGTGATTTCTCAGTGTTGACCGGTTCTCTCCTGCTCCTACACGGAATGCTTTACTTGGGTGTGAACATCTCCTACCATACCTGTGCCACTGCCAATCTGTCTGTCTGTCTGTCTCCAGTTCCTGCCCCCTTGCTTTCTAGGATGTGCAGTGGCCCACAGAATACTGAGGTGGGCAAGAGTTACCAGTCTTCTTTTAGCTATGTGTCTTCAAGTCAGGGGACAGATGGTGGGCAAATGCAGAGAATCCTCCTCCTCCTTCAGGCAATCTGTTTCAATATTTGAAGCCAGCAAAGGCAGGTGCTAAAATCTGGGTATGTTTTCCTCATTACCACTCCATCTGTCTTACAATCAGGGTCAATTCCTCTAAGATTCTCATAACAGTATCTGTCAGTTTTAGATCAATGCAGTGAAAAAAATGTACTTTAAAGTTTAAATTATACACATTGGGTTTACTAATACTAAAATCTTGAAGCAAATATTAACAAATTATAGCTGAAATACACCAAGCTCTAAGCAAAAACTCACCTCATTATTAAGTCATGGGCTCTGGAACCGGAGAGCTTTAGCTCAATCCCAGCTCTCCCTCTCAGCAGCACTAACACTGAGAAAGTTCTTTCTATGTCTAAGTATCTGCATCTATCTTAATGGAGATAATAATATATTCCTCATCGTTTACTGTGAGGATTAAATAAGTTAACACATATACAGTGCTTAGAATAGTCTGGCACATAATAAAAACTAAATGTTAGCAATTGTATTAGTTATCATGAAATTGCTGATGATGTTAGATGCCATGCTGCGCAACTGTCATGGAAAATGGGGGAACGAGTCTTGAATTTTCTTTGAAAATGAACTATCTCTAGTTAAGTTTAGCAATCTCCAACGTGAAAGCAATATGCTCATAAGTCAGTCACTTAAAAAATAATTCCTAATGTAGCTATTCTTTGTTAACTATTTCCAAGTTTACCATTGCTATTTTTCATTTCATCGGGGAGGAGGGCAAGGAATACGGAAAGTTTCAGGTTTCTTTGAGACAAAGTGTGTAAGGGTATAAAGCTTGAGGTCACTGTATATTCATTAATGAGAAACTGGATTCTTCCTATAAGTTATATTTTCTATTCTCTGTTCACCTTAATATGGACCTTATTTTATTGTTTGCTCCTTGAGCACAGGTCTCTTATCTAGCTAGTCGCAAACTAAAAGATTAACACCCTACTGTATTGTGATAATTTAGAAAAATCCTATTCTATATATTCAGAATATCTTTCCTTATTCAAACAATGGTATAGGTGTCTTTCTTTTTTAATTCAAAATTAGTGCATGAGTATAGTTAATTGTGTCACAATTTTTCCATCAGAATTAATCTTGACAGTGTTGAATACTGCGTGTAAATCCTCAATAAACCTATGAGGAGTTTTTAAAAAACACCAACACCTGGATTCGCAGGTTCTGATTCAGTTGGTCTGGGTTGGGGTCTGGGCATTGGTATCTCTAAAAAGTTCACCGTGTTGAAATCTGAATAAGGTCATTGTACCAATGTTTGTTTCCTGGCTGTGATACCAATATTGTATTTATGTTATGTTACTATAGGAATAACTGAACAAAGCTACAAGGAAATTCTATACTCTTTCTTGCAACATAAATATACAATTATATATATCTTTAAAATCCCCAAATGGTTCTAATCTGCAGCTGTAACTGAAAACCAGTGCAATAAACTTACCGACTGCCAGTATTACTATGGTTTAAAGAAGTCTTAAATTGATTAATAAACAGATATCTGGAGATCAGAGAGTGAAGACAGTTTCTTTTTTTTTTTAAATAATTTAATCTTATTGAGGTATAATTTTTAAATAAAATATGCCCATTTTAACAGTCTGATGTGCCTTAACACAAGTATACACTTACATAGCCACCCCCTCAATTTAGAGAACATTTCCATCACTACAGAAAGCCCTTCTTGCCTTTTGCAGTCAACTCCCCTTTCCTCACCACAGGAAACCACTGAGGTTTTTGAAACCATCTCTTTCAAAGAATGATGACATAAACTTTAGCAGAAAATTTACTTTCCAACTTGACTCTTGAAGGTATATCCAATTCCTTTTAGATTAGAACCCTGGGGTGTACCTTTACCCCTTTGACCTACTGCCTTGGAACTTAACAGCTATATCAACAAGGTAACTCTTGGACAACAGAATTACTAAATTCAATTAGGGTTAAGTTAGTTCAAGACTTGGGGAGGAAAACAACAAATTAGATATTAGGATACCTTACCTACTGGCACAGAAATCTTTCTTTTCTTTAAGTTCGGCTTAAATACAAAACAACCCTATAAAAAAGAAAAAAAAAGCATAAACTTAAAGTGGCCAAGGAGCAAATAATCTGATCTAAGTATGTTATGGATAAGCAGATTTTTTAAAAAAAGGTGTTTCTTTAAAGTGCTAAGAAATCATCTCTCTTCTGTCTGAATTATAGAGGGAAAATTCTTAAATAAGGGGACTATCCATTTCTCTCTCCTCCTTCCCATGGAGGTTCATCTTTCATTTTGCTCTCTGACACCTGATCTAAGAGGCAGACAAAGAAAATATAAGCTGATGAAATTCAAACCCCAAAAGGTTTCATTTTTATAAAACCTGGAGAAGGAACATTAACACTACACATTAAAATGACAATCAAGAACACTGAGAACACTGATGCTCTCCCGTTTCAGAATTATTACTTAATTAAACCCCAAATACCTGGGACCTTCACAGAAAATAGATAATTTTATCTATTGTTTCACCTTACATACCTCTCTTCATGTGATAAACTCTTATTTATTTATCCATTAAAATCTGACTCAATTGATCTGAGAAACCCCCGATTCTCTAGTCACAATTATTCCCTCCCCTAAGATATCACATTACTTGAGTATCTTTATTTTGCTTTAAGTTGTTTTCACTGTGTATCATAGTTACTTACGGGTCTGTCTCTCCAGGCAGTTTGTGAGAGCCTTCAAAGCACAGACTGCATTTAATTCATAATTGTTTCCCCAATGTTCAGGACAGTGCTAATATATACATTAGGCAATCAGTATACAGAATGAATGGATGCTTGCCAACTAATTTTCCTGCTAATTTTCTAACTGTGTTTAGTTTCATGTTATTATTTAACTAATGATACATAGTCGCCAAGCTACTGGTCCTATGTTTATTCTACCAATCCTAAAACCACCCATCAGAGATTTCTTAAAGATTGCATTTTTATGAAAAATTCTAAAATTATAGAAAAAGTTATCTCAGCATAATGCAAAGACAGCTGTGCAAATATAAAGGGGCCATGTGGATTACAGGATCCGAAATAAGAACTGTGCCTTATACTCTTGATTTTTCAACTAGTGGAACTATCTGAAATGCACATACATTTTTGGAAAAACCATGTGGTACCATGACAAGCTTATCATGGTCTCCTTTTTATATCCACTTGCAATTCAGTAAAGGAAAAGGAGCTATGAACAAGTGAGATATTAAGTGTGCCAGGAAGGGATCCTAATGTACAGCAGGGGTATTAATACAGTTATCCACTCTGAATTACTGATTAAGTGATGGTATTTGAGATGAAGGAAGAAGTCTAGAAGCAGTGCCAACAGCCAGGAAGTATGGCAAGAAAGAGAAGTTTACAGAAGAAAAAAGAAAGCTGTGAGAACTCCTGAAAAAGTCCTTAAAGATTCTTACTCATGTAAGGTCTTCTTCATAATCACCTCAGTATAAGCATTTGTTGTAATTCCAAAAATGCTTTTCTGAAAAACAGTCTCAAAATTTTGCAAGATGCACAAAAATAAGAGAAGCTTATGCAACAAAAAGGATTAGTGGGCTGTATGGAACTTCATAACCAGGGCAAAACAAACAAACAGATAAACATAGTACCAATCTTTCTCTTCTGGCATTTGCACCTAGCATCCCAATAAGTCAATCGTTTGTAAACTTAAACCCTCCAGCTAGTAGTGTCTCTTTGATATGCAGTCTTGGAAGGCAGTGATTCTCACAATTTAATTTTAATTTTAATCAAAATTAAAAATTAGATCCACGGGATATAGCCTTCTCATTAATCTACTATTTTAACACAGGGAGAAACATCTTTGCAGCTTCTTCATCTGCATTCTCAGCTTTATCAGAGCTTAACTTCAGGGGCTTTCTGCTGCATTCATAATATTACTTAAGGTCTTACTTGTCTATGACAGTGCTAGCCAATAACACTTTCAACAGTGATGGAAATATCACATATCTGCACTAATACAGTAACCACAGCAACACGTGGCTATTGAGCAGTAGAAATATAGCTAGTGAGACTAAGAAACTGAATTTTTAATTTAATTTTCTTTTATTTTATTCTAATTCAAATGTAATAGTCACAGGCAGTTAGCGGCTACTGCATTGGACAAGAGCTCTACAGTTTATCTTCTTACCAACTACACTATCATGTCTCGTCATCCTTGGCCATCAAGGTAGCCCACATGAGCAGCTCTTTATGATCTACACACACACACTTTTTCATCCTCATTCTTCATGACACTCCCTTCTCTATCTCTAACCTGGACTCATTTTCCAGGTCTTAGCTAATATGTCACTCTCCCCAAAGGCCCTCAGCTGACCCCCGGCAATTCATTATTTATTAGGCTTGTGTCGCTCTTCTGTTCTCTCACGCAGGCCTTTCGGGCTTGCTAACACCTACTACAATTTGTAATCACAGGCTTATCTGTATTTACTATCTTTCTTGAGTGCAGAAACTGAGTCTGTTGTGTTTACCACTGTATCTCGGTACCTAACTCGGCGCACAATAAATATTTATGAGGAGAGACTGAGGCACGTCTAGGATCATCCGACTTGCACAAGTGAGAACTGAAAAATCCTCCCAACCACACCACCAAGGCAGACTGGTGTCTTCGCTCCCCAAGCCGACTTGGCCTCAATGGGACTCGGAGCAAAGACGGCTCAGCTCAGCCAGCCGCCCCCTCACCTCGAGCCGGTACGCCGAGGTCTACATAACGTCCGCTTCATCCCTTCTTCAAAAGGGAATGAGGCGGCGGCGTCCCAATAGGCGCCGGCCCCTACGTACCTTGGACACCGAAGAGGTGGCCATGGTCCCAGCAGCCCGCACGACTCCAGCGTACCCAGGATTTCCCGCGCTCCCTCGCGGCAGAGGGGCAGAGGTTAGTGGCGCGCCACGTGGCTCCCTGATTGGCTAGCAACCCCCTCCGGGGCGGGTTTCCGGCGCAGGGAGGCGGGGCCGGCAGGAAAGGGCGGGGCTCGGGGCTAGCTTGTTGGGACGCACCTGGTAGTGCCAGACATGGCGTGTGGCTTCCGCAGGTCCATCGCCTGTCAGGTACGGACTCGGGAACTGGCTGAAAGTGAGTCCTAGGGAGCCCCGTACCCCGAAGCCCTCTCACCACTGCGGGCCTGTCCCCTGCCAGAGGGAGAGCGGGCTCCGCGGAAACCCTGTTTGCTCCTGCCGCCTCTTGTGTCTTCACTGGAGCTTCTGCAGCTGCCCCGGGAAACCCGGTAGAGGGCCGGGCATGCGGTCCAGATCGGGCTCTCAGCGGGGAAAGCAAACCTGGAAAGGCACGTGTTCCTTCCCTTCCTCCTTCCCATGCCACAGCTTTGTATGCTTTACCCGGTGGAAAGTCGTTAGGCCATGATTAGACCCTGTAGAAATTAGTGTTCTTTCTATTTAATGAAGTTGACGGATCTGAATTATCATTGAAATGGGTCGAATTTAAAAATTAGTCATTTCTCTTGGAGTCACTTTGGGTGCCTGTCCTAGCATTATTGGTAGTTAATTCCAAAGATAACATAAGACCCTGGTTTTCTTGATTCAGAATCATATTTGAACAGCTCTGAGTAAGGCGATAAAAAAATTGCAACATTGTGTTTCGTAAAGAAGAAAATTTAAAACTCATCGGCCACCTATGGAATTTTCCAACGAAAGTTTCTAATGTAGTCTTGACAAACCCATTTCCTTTTTTAGTGAAAATGTTTTGCCTGATATGTAATTTTCCTTTTTTCATATTTACAGTATTTCTGGAAGCTAGTGGAGAAATGCCCCTGCACTGGCTTCATGCTTATAGATAGGTGTACTGCTCTGTCCAAAGCCAGCTTCCCAAATATCACTAACAGACCTTTTGATAATGCAAAGCTGACTTTATGGCTTACTGGTGTAAGGGAGAACACCACCTCAACAGAGTTCTGATGGTGTCACTCACTGGGAAGGCAAGGTCAAATTTTATTGAGAATTTAGTTTGGTTTAAGGTTGTTTTTTCAGTGGCAGAGGGTGAGAAGGCTGGGGAATAAAGGAGATGGCTTGATTAGAATCGGATGCTGATCTTGACAGTCTTAAGACTGATGAAAAGAGGTGAGTGCAAAGAATCTTAAAGGGCATAAACTGTTTATGCTTTCTATTGAAAAATTGATAGATTTCTTCTGGAAGTTCAGTAATGAACAGTTAAGCTGTTTGGGCAGGAGTCTTCTAGAATGGTAAAGTTATACTAATAAAGACAAAGAAATAGTTAAGTCATGTTAAAGTAGACAGTAAACTACATCCAGGGTATGTAGATTTGGACCTCAGTGTCAAGCTGTGTGTTGTGGGGTGGAGGTAAGGTTGTTTTCATTCTCAGTCTTAGGTTCTAAGATAGTACCATGGCCAGAAACTTTTTGTATTTAGTTACCAAAAAGCTATATTCTTCCTTGTAAAGTTAAGTTGAAGAAACAGGAACTAATATGTTTTGAGTGTATATTTGTGCTAGCTACTTTACATTCACATTTAAGCCCCATGACAACCCAATAACAGAAATATTAACCTTGCTATATACACTTGAGTAAACTGAGATCCAGAGAGATGAAATAACCCATCCCAAGGCCACCCATCTGGTTTATGAACAGAGATCTAAATTTAAGATGAGTTCTTTGCTACACACTGCTGTGTAATTTGTGAAGGCAAGAAACAGTCTGATCATTAAACATAATAGATTTGTAGGGCAACATAAACTAAGCAAATATATATTTCACTGAGTATGAAGTCATTTAGAGATTATCTGAAGCAAGAATAAATAAAAATATGTGCAATGCATTCCTTTACAAATGAGGATTCTTTGCTAGTTTAGGAATGAAGGAATATGTGACATGAAATGGCACATTTGTTCATCAAATTTTGCTTAATGAGTTTGTAGTTTTCAGAGCACTGTCATCAGTCCCAGGATAGAGAGTATGTTGTCTGTTCTGGCATGGTCCTGACTAACTTGGAAAACAGATATATAAACAGCTAATTGCACTTTAGTCTGTAACTGTATTGAAGGCATGTGTGTATGCTTTCATAAGGAAGTACGGAGAGATTGCTTCTAAGTTTCAGGGAAGGCTCTGTGGAAAAGGTGATACTGGGGCTCAATGCTGAATGGAGGTTGGGTAGGAGTGTACCAAGAGAGTAGGGTGAGGGCTTGGGGAAGAGCATGTGCAGAGACCTAGACACGTGGGAGAGCATGGTATGTTCATAGAAACAGTGTTTGGGTGACTGAAATTTAGAATGTGCCTCTGATGCCTCACTGGAGCAAATCCTGTTGATTCTGTCTTCAAAACAATACCTTGGATCCATCCACTCACCTGCATCACTGCTGTCCCTCCGTTTCCCACTCTAAACCGAGCTAACAGTGTCACTACATCAGCTGCTTACAACAGCGTTCTGATGAGTCTTTGTTTCCGGTCTTGCACTCCCTCCAGTCCGTTCTCCTTGTTACAAGAAAAGTGACTTCCAAACTGAAAATCAGATCAGATAACTTACCTGTTTAAAACTACATTGCACAAACTCTCCACCAGAACTCTAACATCTTTTTTTCCAACAATTCATGCCACCCTATCCTTTCTTTCTATAGGATCCTGGCCACACTATTATTTTCCATTTTTCCAACAAAGCAAGGTCTTTCCATTCCTGTTGTGTACATTATTCCCTGTGCCTGAAGGAAATGATTATATATCATGACCTTTTATGCAAGATGAAAGTTTCACAAACAATACTTACAATGGGTGTGCATTCTTTTCTATTCTGTACTGCTTCATTTTTTCAAAAAATTCTGGTTAGGACTCAATGATTTATTCCCAGCTAATAACCTTTAGTTTGAAAAGTTTGTCCTCCAGTTATTCTCTAAAAGAGTCCCTTGTTTATTACCATCATAACGCTTAGAAGAGTCAGTCACTCCTTTACTTTGTTTTGTTTGGTGTATGTTTCCTCTATAAGCTTCATGAAGACAGAGCATGTTTTATTCCCTGTTATTTCCCCAGCACCAACAACATGCCTGAAACACAGAAGGTGTTCAGTACAAATTTGAAGAATGAATGTTGTGAGGTTACTATAAAGTTTGCAGCCTCACCAAATGAGTTGTAATTTTAAAACTGTGAGATGACCTGGTAGTAGTGGAAAGGATTAAAATTCTGTCCCTCCATTTATGTGACTGACTTATTCTTGGCAGGTTAGTTAGCCTGTCAGCTGTAAAATGATGGTATCGATTCCAAGTTTACAGGATTGTTGTAAAGATTAATGATGATGATGAAGATAATACTAACTACTATTTGTGGAATACCTTACTTGCACCATACATTGTGTTGCTGAACTTTATAGGGCTATTGATGAACGAAAGAGATAATGTTACCAGAAGGTGCTTACTATCAAGAACTGTGAGGGGTTTATGGTTTACCGTACAAGTCAGTCTGTCACAGTTATATGGATGGTGGCAGAAAACACGAGACCTCTGGGTAAGAGCAGGATTTCAGTATTCGCAGCACTGGTGTACCCAGAGTATCAACATTTTCTTGTCAGTTCCCCAAGCGCCTCTTCTTCCACCAGAGCAAAGTGAAGAGGGTCAGATAATAGCTGCACAGTGTGCTTTGTTACATAGTATAGGAACCCTGAGACGTTTTTAATGAGTAGTAAGCACATTCCCTGTGCTCTGGAGTGGGACACTTTCTTTCTTACAAATCTGTTTGCTATACAAATATCCGGGAAAAGTTCAACAATGCAGAACTCTAAGAGTCCCACAGAGAGATTTGTGCCTCAACACTTAGCACAGCGGTATGCACAGAAAGCATACAGTCCTTGATGTTGTCATCTCCTTTAATCTTCTCAATCATCCTATGATATGTATCATTTCTCCATTTTATAGAAGAGGACACTGAGACTCAGGGAGATGAAAAGAATAACCTAAAGTCACAGAGCTACGAAACTGTAGAGCTGAACCAGTAACCCACCTGTTTGACTGAAAGCTGGAATTCTTTGTATTCTGTTGAATAACTTTTGTAAAATGTCCAGCACTATATCTTGCTCAGTAACAATGATAAGAGGTCAGATTTGTTTTCACTTTTTTACTTCCTTTTCATTTAGATTTTGATCGTAAGTTTAAAATAAATTTAGCTGGCTCATTAAAATTTTTTTACTTTTAATTTCGAAGTAATTTCAAACAGGAAAAGTTGTGATAGTAGTACAGAGAACCCTATATGCTTTTTTGTAGGGAAAATGAAAGTTCCTATGGCCAGGATCCTCAACTGACCCTAAACTACTTGATGATGTAATTGGCCTACGGCATAGGCTAAAGCTTTCACACGTGTTGGCAATGAGCTATTATTGTCTGTGATACTATATAAAGAGTTCCACCCAATACTGTCCCCAGAAGTAGCGAAAGAGACAGGAAGTGAGCTCCCTGGGAGGCAGATGTAATTCCAGCACTAGACCTGCCACGGTGAGAATAAAGCTTGATATAAAGCCTTTTACCCCTAATGTTCAGTTGTTCCATTGTTATTTGGTCTCATCAAATCCAGAGGGAACATCCCCTAGGGCAACCTCCTCAGGAGAGACACTCTTTGTCCAGATTGCCAGTCATTTACATTTTGACACATGTGCTTCATCATTCTCTCTATATAAATTTATTTTGCCTGTATCATTTGCGAGTAGGTTTTATACATCATGCTCCTTAATCTCTTAATGTCTGATGGGTCACTTCCTAAAAAACAAGGCTTATTTTACATACCCACAGTACAGTTATTCACATAACATCGATGTAATACTTTTATCTACTACAGTCCATTGTATTTTTCAGTAGTTGTTTTTTTTCAGTGTAGAATCACAATCTGCAGTTGTCCTGTAATTGTTACATTTTAAG